GTGGAGCACCTTCCTGCAAATGAGGGCAATATACCATGGGAGGACGGACATGGATGTTGCACAAAGTAAGAAATTGTCTAGAGGTAAAGTATGAGTGAGCCTGAAAAAGCAAGCTTTGTTTTCTTAGTACATTCTTTGCATTGTTCGAAATGTTGTGTTTCCAGGAAATGTAAATAGCCTGAGTAAGGTCAAGGATTTTGAGGAAGATGGCTAGTATAATGGAAATGTTCATGTTTGCAAGAGACAGTAAGATTTAATGTTTTGGTGACAATGAATCGGGACTTCAGGTGCATTGGAAACTCAGTAACGCAGTGGTAGTTCAATAAATAACCCACCCCAGTGAGCAGGAACGCTCGTTTATGTTCATATTTCAAGACCGCTTAAAAATAATATATTGCATCTTCAACCTGTTATGCCATGTATTGCAATGTTCCACAGGAGAGCCAAATGGCACACAGAGTTACTAAAATGCTTATGGGTTCAGTTGAAATTCGATAAAGCCCTTATTATTAAGTGCAGCATTGGTTTAGAGTCTTGTGAAATCATATAAAATTTTAATAATTTAAGTGCTAAAATGTATATTACAATATGGAATATAGACATGGGATTCGTAAACTTAATATATCAATACTTGTAAGATCCTGGGAGTAGAGGTAACAACAACAAATGGGCAGGTTCGTTGACTGCTTCAGAGGGAGGGTTAGGGTTCACATTTCAAGATTTTACCTTACACTTAAAATAAATAAAGTGAATTTACTGTGAATAACAATGTCATTGGCACTTTGCTTAACAGATGATAAATTAAAAATAAAATAAACTAGTGTATGATAAGCTGGACCTTGATCATTCAAAGTTTTTGGGTCAACTCTTCCTAACAAAGCTACAGTAACAGTAATCTAATTCTTAAACTCTCAATACACATACTATATATAACACAAATACACAACCAATGATCACCTTACATAAATCACTAGAGCAGTACTGATAAAAAAAAGAGTAAATGTTCACTCAGCTCAACAAATGTGTGTTTGCCTTGTTTGGAGTCCCGGCCGCATCTGACTCACTCAGCCAGTGTTGTCAAATGTGGTTGGTGAAAATCGGCTAGAAATCCGCTAAGCACAATATTACGTGCGTATCCTAAACAATGTGCAAATGTTAAGTTATTTTACAAATGTTAAGTACTCACCACTTAGTTCAGCGAAAAAATTATGCTGTCCCCTTCTTCCTCTTCAGTCTCTATTGACATGGGTACTGAAGAAGAGCTTCTTGTGCTTTTGATGTCGATGAACTGTATGTTACCATTGTACCTATTTGCTTTACAACTTGTTTTGGCAGTCCACTTTTCACTGCAATAATCTCACAGACTGAACTTGTATTCAACCGATTTCTGAGCTTTGATTTTACAATATTTTATTTTGACACTCACATTATCAATTCCAACTCCTAGTAACTTCTGTGGGTCCAGCTGTACATCCTGTCAAAGATTCTTGATGGCATTTACTATAGATTGCGCTGTTCCATCTTCTAGTTCAATAAGTCCAAGATAAGTTGACACAATTTTCTTTAACTCCTTGCCGAAATAACATACAATAACACCAAGCAACTTCACGAGAGCTATGTCAGTTACTCATCAATCAAAATGCTGTACTGTGCATCACCAATATATTTTCGTAGACTCTCAGTAAAGTGTGGTGCCAACACATTTACTATAATGTTTTTACACTTGGTTCTATGCAATTTCATATTCATCACTGCATTACTGTCACTGAACGCCTTTTTACAAGCTTCCGACACATGATCCACGGTTAAAAATGCAGTATGTTCAGCAGTTACCATCAATAGCAGTCTCTCGGCCTCACTTGTGGCTTGTTGTTGAGTATTACTAAATTTAGAGAAATGTGGCTTTGCTTGCCTTGCACTCGCAAATGGATCAGATGATTTGACATGTTTTACTGAAACTGCATGCCTTCTCAGATTACAAAGTTTTGCATTAATCTCGCATTTACAGAACAAGCAATATGCCTTAATTTTATTTTTTGTCTACAGGCTTAAGCCAGTCCTTTAACTCTAGAAAAGCCGCCTCCCAGATTTTTCTGTATGCTCGCGCGTAAGTTGGCCCCACGTAGGTTAATTAAAGCACTTCCACATAGTGTGATGTCTGGGAGGCTACTGGCAGTGGCCTAGGTGGGCCGTGGGCGGTGGGCCCCAAGGCGGACAGGTCCTGTACCTGTACGAAGTTCGAAGTTCGAACGTGTAATGGACATGGTCAGCAAAGGGACGGGGTTGGGTTACTGATTACCTTGTATTCTACAGGTATTTACTTAAAAAAAATTTTCTTCTAATTCCAGCAGGAGTACAGAATAGTTTTAATAACTAATAGTCATCATGTAAACGAAATCCGATAGAACTCCCGCCAAATCCAGTGAAAATGCAACAGAAAATCCGCTATCCTCAAAAGGTCTAAGCCATCCGCGTTTTGAAAGGACAATCAGCTAGATTTAGCTGATTTTCCGCCAAGTTCGCAACACTGCACTCACCATCACCGGCAGCCGGACAAGGGGATCCCAAACCTACCACTATTTAG